GGAGAAGAGCTTTTCCCAGCTGTGGCTGGAACTGTTATCTAATCAGCTGCCAGCCTCCCCTGCTTCTTGTCCATCAACTCCCAGCGTGCCAGCCCCAGGGGATGCATCGTGGCTGATCCAAAACAGTCATGATTCTCCTGCTCCCCTTTATCATGTGCTGGCTCTCCCTGCCTCCCTTATAACAAGTCCTGGGACCCAAAACCAACCCATGCGATTCCCGGAGTCTTCTGAGGACTGTCTGGGAAAGTTTTTCCTGGGCTGAAAAATAAGAAAAGCCACCTGCACAGAGCCCTGAGTCAGCCTGATTTTCACCCTCGCCTCCCTCCTATGGCCGAATGAAATCACGATTCCTGCAGGAGCTCTCGCAACCTTGAGGACACATGAGCAGAGGACAGAGCAGCTGAAGGATGGAAACGGGCTGCGTTACACGTGACCACCAGGCCCGGACTGACCACCCTCAGGCTTCATGTCTGGAGAGAGAGGTAAATACCTTTAGTGTCTGAGCCACTGTTATTTGGGAATTCTGTTACACGCAGCCAAAAGCTTTCTAAGTGGTCTAATAGTGAATCTCCCAAAGAAGAATGAAGTTTTCCAAACTCACCCAACTTCTTATTGTGTGTATGTATGTGCGCGCGCACGCGCACACACACACATGTGATAGTTCAACATTTTTATTGGTTAACCCTTTCAATGAGTATACTTTTACTTGCAGCTCAAAATATTAGTTGTACAAATATTTGGTATATTACAGTAATACAAAATAAAGCAAACAAACAACAACAAAAAACTTCCTCTATAGAGCACCGTTTTGCAAATACAGTCTTAACAATCTGGTTGTATTCCATAGGTAAAACTCTAGAGGAGATAAAGCCACGTGATAAACCAAGCTCCAGGTTGTTTTTGCAAAAATTAATTTAAAATTTCACTTAAAAATGAATATATAATGGAGCAGAATACAAGAACCACATGTCTTTTAAAAATAAAAGAAATTTCAGCCTGGCTGGTATGGCTCAGTGGTTGAGCATCGACCTATGAATGAGGAGGTCATGGTTCGATTCCCAGTCAGGGCACATGCCTGGGTTGGGGGATCGATTCCCAATGGGGTGCATATGGGAAGCAGCCGATTGGTGATTCTCTCTTGTCATTGATGTTTCTACCTCTCCCTCTCCCCTCCTCTCTGAAATCAGTAAGAATATATTTTAAAAAAAGATTACTGCTATGTCAGGTCTGGTCGATTTTCACACTTTCACTAACTACACTAAAGGCAACACTGGTGGACAGCCTGACATCACTCTAGGGCAGTGGTCGGCAAACCGACCTCTTGAGTGTGGCTCTTCCACAAAATGCCACGTGCGGGCGGGTGCGCATGTACAAGTAGCGTTGTGGAGTGAAAGATGTAGTGTCGAGGACTGAGAAAGGTATGTTGAGATGGTTTGGACACAGAGAGAGGATGAACGAAAGCAGATAGACGAAACAAGTATACAAGACGAGTGTGGATGGGAGAGTTGGAAGGGGTCGACCTCAGAGAACATACCTCAATCTGATTGAGGACGTTTTTAGCAAAGGCCAGCTTAGGAGTACCCTAATTAAGTTAATAACAATGTACCTACCTATATAGTTTAAGTTTAAAAAATTTGGCTCTCAAAAGAAATTTCAATCGTTGTACTGTTGATATTTGGCTCTGTTGACTAACAAGTTTGCCGACCACTGGGCTAGGGCAGTGGTTCTCACCTGGAGGCAATCCGCCCCCCCAGGAACATACAACAATGTCTGGAGATATTCTGGGCTGTCACGCCTGGAAGGAAAGTGCTGCTACACACAGAGGGTAGACAGCAGGAAGCTGCTGTAACACCCCACAGAGCACAGGGCAGTCCCCCAACACAGAGCCCTCAGGTCTCTGTTCTGCTGGGTTGGAAATTCTACTCCCAAAGTTCCCAGGTAATCTGCGATGAAAGCTGCAAGGGCCAAAAGTTTCACTTTCTCATCCAAACAAACTGATCCTTTTGAAATGCGGTGCAAGAGACTATTCCTGTAGTGACTCACAAACAGCCCAGAGCAAATAGAAATTTTAAACTTCCTTTTAATATTCTTAAAAAAAAAAAAAAAAGAGAAAATTCCTGTCCTAGAAGACAGCCCGTGGTCATGGACCGCTCTGCAAGCACTAGCAGTAATATGGTCTCTGCACCACCGAGGTGGCCACACACCCCAGCCATCTGCTCAGCAGAAGCCATCTGCCAGGCGGGGAGGAGGAGGAAGAGTGGCTCTCCTCCCCAGCTCTCTCTGCCGGGAGCCTGGGAGCCTCCCTGAAGCTGAAACCACTGGAGACCCAGCAGCTGAGCTCCTGACTGAACCCTGGAATTATAATGAGGCAGGGATGGTGGAAAGGCCTGCAGAGCTGGCACAGGTAGCTCTCCTTATCTGCACCTCGTGGCCAAGCCTACACTATCCCCCTGGTCCAAACTCGTCCTATCTCCTTCGCTGCTGCCTCTGGCATGCGGAGCATTTGCAGTTGCCTCCTTGAAGCTGCAGAGTAAATAGGGCTGTGCATACTGCACATTTTTAACCAAGCCTGTTTATCGAGCCCCTGTTCTGCTTGTCACTCTCACCACCTATTCAGGTCATAAACAACTTGAGCCTCCCAATGCCATTCTCTGGGTCAAGGGCACCTTAGAAATATGAAGAGCTCATTGCAAGGGTAAGGAAATCTAGTTTCGGGAAAGGCAAAGTGAGCCACTCCCGTTGCCCTCTCCACTGGAACTGTATGTTTTGCTCTTCCTTTGACAACACTACAATCTCAAACATACTCGAGCAAATAGATGTGGGAGAGCTAGGAAAGCAACATTAAATGCAATGGCAAAACCTCCTGTGGAGAGAGGCATATGCTGCATACACCTTAATTCCAACTTTCAAAAGTCTGTATTTATTGGGTAGCTGTATGCAAGTTCAAGAATAAAAGTTGTACTATACTGGCTTAAAAACCCTTAATGGTTTCATCAAGTCACCAGAGACATCATAATCAAGACTACTACATTATATTTAAAATTGGTTTGGTATACTTTATCATTAAAATAAAAAGTTTAGGTAAAGCTTTTGGTCCCTTGAGACAGAACAAATATTTCAACAGCTGGAAGATGTTAAAAGTCAAGAGTTCGGGCATGTGAAGAGTCATCTATATAATTACTCTTCCCTAAAAACAAAACATCTCGACGGACGCCAAAAAAACATGCTATCTCATAGGAAACCAACAAAACATAAGAACACAAATTATAATGTTGCTCCAATCTTTTATTTATAAACTTTACTTAGCTACTAGAACTATTTAAACTGCCCCAAGGTACGATAAATCATTTCTTCTTAAAGATACGGGAACACTATTTTCCTAAGTAAGAAAAATAATCATCAGCATCTTTATATATTTATCATAGATGTATTATGGCTTTTCAGGGTAGACCATTCAAAGTTTTCATTTCAGCTAGATTTCCAAGCAGCTAAAAGCATTCATAACACAGTCTGATTATAAGGAACAAAAAGCAAAACTCAACCTCTCTTTCTTTCTTTTTTTTTTTCAAACTTATTTTTTTATTGAATTTATTGGGGTGACACTGGTTATTAAAATTGTATAGGTATCAGGCATACAATTCTACAATACATACCTGTACATTATATTGTGAGTTCACTACCCCAAGTCTTCTTTCACCACCATTTATTTCCCCTATACCTTCTTCTGCCTCCCCCACCCTATTTTTTCTCTGGTAATCATCATACTGCTATCTGTGTCCATGAGTCTTTTTTTTTTCTTCACTTAATCCCTTCACCCTTCTCACCCAGCCCCCAATCTCCTTTGTCTGACAGCTGTCAGTCTGTTCTCTATATCCATGAGTCTGTCTCTACTTTGTTAGTTTATTTTGTACATTAGACTCTGCATATAGGTGAAATGGTATGGTACTTGTCTTTCTCTGCATGGTCAGTTTCACTTAGCATAATGCTCTTCAGGGCAGTTTGAATATTTCAGCTAAAATGTCAGCTATTCAGACGTAGGATTTAAATAAATATTTCTGACAAATGTGAACATTTATTTTACATATTCCTAGAAGCCTGTTTCCATGATTCTCTTCACCTTGTCTAAACTGTACCCCATGAACCACCCCTACTTCTATTCTATGCCAACAATTCTGCCCACTTGCTTGCCTTCATATGTGGAAATAACACACCACAAATTTATGGTTTTTTAAGTTCACATTCTGGAAACGATGGAATGTTTATGAAGGACCAGCAGGAAAATATTTTACAATCCTACATACCCTGAGTATAGTTAATGAAGAATGTTTCCGCCAATTCTTTGCGGGAAGAGCTAAGGAGAGTGAGTGAGTGTATGCATGTGGGTATGTGTGTGTAGTGGGGACAGATAGAACAAATACTGTAAAAAAAGAAAAAAAAGAATCCTTTCTGGTTATCTCCCCAGAGCAGGATATGAACACACAACCAGAAGTCTGAAGTCAGAGGCATAAACACGCTGCCAACAGACGATTTACTTTCTATTCCCTTAAGGAGAGAGTATTAGAGTCTCGCCAGCATCTTCCCAGTCACGGGGAAACGTTTTAGACCAACAATCATTACGAGCAGTGGATTTTAGATTAAGGTACAAGAAGCACTAGACTTGCACTCTAGCTCCGTATCCACCAGAGGAAAGGCTCTATGGAGAAGAAATCTGAAAAATGCTCATTGGGCATAATAAGAGTGTTGCCTCCCCACAGATATGAGAACTCAAAGATACAAATGAATCAAATGCTTACAACAGTGGCTCTGCACACCGCAAAAGACTCAAGTCTTAACTGAACAGGTAATTTAAAGAAAAGGAAGCACAGACGCTCCTGTGAGTCCACGTGTAAAAACTATACACCTCACATCTCAAGCTTTGAAAGGACGATCACCTTCAACAAGCATCTGAGTTGCGGATCTTGGAACCCGGATACACAGCAAGCGACACAAAGGCTGCTTACCTCTTCTTCTTGGTGATGATGAGCACGTCGTTAAAAAGAAAGAAGTAGACTTGCTGTTTGGACGTCCTTTTTGAGAAAAGCACCGTGTCCTCCACATAGGCTGTCAGCTCGCCTCTCTTCACCAGCCACCGCGAAGAGGAGACCAGAGGGAAAGGCTACAAACAGAGAAGAACTCAGCACCAAGGCCAAAGGAGAGAGCGTCTAAGAGGACGGAGATTAAAACATAAAGCTTACATGCAAACACAGTATGCACATATGGCATGCATAATTCTTTCATAGACACATTATAACAAAATATAATAACTAGAGAAGTACAGTAATTCTCCCGTAGAAAGTGAGCAACAATTTATTTTCCAATATAAAAACAATTAACTTGCCTACACGTAACTAAAACTCAATGAGAAAATGTTATTGGGTCAACCAGAAAGGATTATATTGCCCTTCCATTAACTCTCAGCTGAAAAAAGAAGATCAAGAAAGGAGTCACTGAACACTGAAAGGCCTCAAAATGAAATCTGTAAGTATCAACTGCAGTTACTTTAAATATAAATATCACAAACCAGAATCTAAACATACAGGAAAATGGAGATAACTGTAGCTAACAAGAGCCCAATATAAAAGCCTGCATTCCTTTATGAACTGAGTAGACTTTATTCAAAAGGAAAAAAAAAAAAATCCTCTTAAATGTATGATTTGTCAGCCGATTATTTACTTAGCCATCTTCTGAAGAACACCTGTTCTTAAATGTATGGTAGTTTTCCCCATGGAAGTTCATCCCTGAAAGCAACATGCCATTTTTCTGGCTGGGGAAAATGAGGTTTTCCCAAAATAATCCATCTTAATCTCATAGAAAAGGCTGGATACAAGAAATTACATAGTTTTTAAAAAATTCAGTTTCCAGTTTCCGACTGGAAAACTCTCAAAACCACGGGATAATCCTTACCCTTGAGAGCTCTTTTTTTTTTTTTTTTTAAGTTACCAGAAATGCTTACTGTCAAAAATTTGATTTAAAAAACTGCATCCATAAAATAAGCAGAAGTTCTTAGACACACAAAACATAACTGTAGTAGCTTAGTGCACCCAAATGTCATCCTTTTCAGGGAATAATGATTAAAAATAGCTAAAGGAAATTGAGGCTATTAGGGAGGAAATAAGAAAGCTAAGAGGATTTCTTTTTTCTTTTCTTTATTTATTTTTTTTACTTTATAAAGAACTTTTATAAGCAGGTTGCTCATCAGTTATGTACTGTTTTCCTGAAGATTTAAAAAGGAAGAGGAAACATTATGGCTGACCTCAAACTTTCCAAACTTGCCATTAAGGGAGTTCATAGTTTCCAGACCCAAATCTCAAATCAGACAATTATCCAACAGGAATGGCTGAAACTTAAAAGACAGACAGACAAAGATGGCTGAGACCACTCTGGGGAACCCCACCAGCACACAAGAGGTCACCGCAAAGAACTGGGTGTCAGGTTTGGTCCTGCTGAAGGTATGGAATTACTGGGGACACAGTGCTATCTTGCTGTTGCATGTAACGCTACAGTATGAACCAAGGACAGTTTTAAGGTTAAGTTCTTCGTTTAGGGGCGGGGGAAAGAAAGTTTTTAAAACTAGTTTGTTGTTTTTAAAATACATTGACTTTTTTAGGCTCCTCATATTCCACTAGGCAAAAATCACTATCTAAGGAATATCTAAAATGGGCAGTGGCTTTCAATATGTCTATGCCTCTTTTGAAAACAAAAATCCGATATTATAAATTTTTTTTTTGTTTCAGAATTTATTAGAAGATGAAACTCATTCTTTGAAAAAAAAAGAAGAAAAAGGAACTATGAAAATGTCCAAGAGAAAAGAATCTGAAGAACCCAAAATGGGCATAAGTGAATTCCTGGAATTAAGAAACTCTAAGACTAAAATTCAGGTGTCAATAAAAAACTAGAAAAAAAGTTCATGAATAAAAATATATCCCTAAAGGTACTGATATAAGTCCTATGGAGAAAAGACTTTTCATCCTTTTTTGTGTTATTTGGCATCCTAGAAAACTAGCCTCAGTATAAAATTGAACTAATTTTATGAGCCAGCAAGGCAAGAAAGAACTGCTGAAGAGTAAATATATATTTTTATGAATTGAGAGAAAAATGATCATTTAACCATTTAAAGGTATACATATAATTCAGTGGCTTTCAGTACATTCACAATGTTGTGCAATGATCAGCACTACATAATCCCAGAACATTTTCAATACCCTAAAAAGAAACCCCGTATGCCTTGAGTCACTCTCCATTTTGCCCTTCCCCAAGGCCCCGGCAACCGTGATTCTACTTTAACTCCATGGATTTGCTTATTCTGGACATTTCATAGAAAAGGAATTACACAATATGTGACCTTTGGAGTCTGCTTGCTTTCATTTAACATAATGTCTTCAAGGTTCATCCATGTTGTGGCATGTATCAGGACTTTTTTCTTTTTTACGGCTGAATACTATTTCATTGTATGAATATACCACAATTTGTTTATCGCCTCACCAATTTTGTTGATGGACATCTGGGTTGTTTCCACGTTTTTGGCTATAATGAATAATGCTACCATGACCATTTGTTTTTATATGAACAACTGTCTTCAGTTCTCTTGGGTATGTACCTAGGAGTGAAATTGCTGGGTCATGTAGTCATTCTGTTTAACTTTTTGAGGAAATATCAAACTATCTTCTACAGTCCAAAGACTTCTTAATGCCTTGGAGTTTTTCATGTTGGGTTACGTCTTGGATTTGGAGTAGGAAGCCTTACCTGATACAAGCTCCCCATCCCTCCATCCCTCACTCCTAGAGCTGACCATTATCCTTTCCATTTCCAGTCTCCCATCTACTGTGACAGCTGCAGGCTTTGCTACTAACTTTTTTGCATTTCTGTAATTTTCTGTGAGACTGTAAGCTTCCCAAGCACAGGGATTACATTTTTGTTCTTCCTACTGCTTTCCACAAATAAGGTGCTTGTTAAACTCATGAACTCAATTGATGTTAATCACTTACTTTTAGGGACCCCTGGGGTAAGCTTTTTTCAATTACATATTAATTTTGCATTCTAGAAAAATAAAGTTTAAAGATATTTTAAATCAATTGATTTTCAGCGAGGAAGAAAAAAGAAATATGGTTAGGGAAGGAATTTACCATCTTTAAAAAGACAAATGGTTAGGGGTTTGCCATCTTTAAAAAGAAGATTTTAAAAAAAGAAACAAAAAACAACCCGGGCCACAGGGCTCAGTGGTTACGCGTTGAACCATGAGGTCACAGTTCAATTCCTGCTCAAGGCACAAGCCCAGGTTACGGGCTTGATCCCCAGTGTGGGGCATGCAGGAGGCAGCTGATTAATGATTCCCTTTCCCTCTCCCTTCCTCTCTGAAATCAATAAAAATATATTTAAAAAATTAAATATAAATTTTAAAAAAGGCCTGTCATTTTAAGTTGCTTAACACAATTTACATGTAATAAAACAAAACAGAACGCCAATCCTGATCATTCACATCCATTGAGAACTCAACTTTAAACCAAAGGACGGAGCGTGGCCAAGATTTACAACCATTAACTGTCATTTTCTTCCTTTTTCATCTTGTCATCTGCCCCTGAGCAGTGCCAGACAAGCAGTAACGGGCAGCACATCGTCAATAAAGAATTATGGGAGAAAAACAAATTTGCAAAGAACAATCCACCAACAATCTGTTTCTGCAAACTGGACAAGGAGTGTCCTTATCTGATTTGGGAGCACACCACGGTCCAGCTCCTGGGAGACGACACCACTGTTTTGTAGGACACTTTGAGAATCTGAAAGAAAGCTCCTTTCCATACTAAAGTTCTATTCGCTTTTAACAATGTATTTTTATTCATTTCAGAGAGGAAGGGAGAGGGAGAAAGAGATAGAAAGATGAATCTTGAGAGAGAATCATTGACCCACTGCCTCCTTGCATGCTCCCCACTGGGGATCAAGCCCACAACGCAGGCACTGTGCCCCAACCAGAAACCGAACCATAACCTCCTGGTTCATAGGTCGATGCTCAACCACTGACCCACACCAGCCGGGCAAGTTCTATTATTTTTAACTACCTTTTTCCCGAGTTTGCTGGCTTCCTGGGGGGGAAAAAAAAATGTTCTCGTCAGATAATACCTAACTGTGGTTTATGGGAAGGTCGCTTTATCCGGCATAAGCAGAATAGAATCTCCCTCAGCATCTGCTATTCTCTTTACCAGCCTCTCTCTAATCAATGGATGGTCCTTCTTTGAAAAATAAAATCCTACCCACTTCTGTTGCCCTCGACTGTCTTCATGTTTACAGAAGACTTAAGCAAGAGCAGTAATAAATCTGTTTATGAAGAAGTGCGGAAATACCTTAATTTTAAATTCCAGCTGGGAGTTAATTGTGTACATCATTTCTGTCCTTTCCATCTTCCGGGCTCCTTCGTTGCACAGTCGAACCAACTGGGAACACAGAAACATAAGGAGGGTTGAGGGATCCAGGAGAGAAACCCCACTTTCAAAAGCAGATCTCTCGCAGGAAGTAATTAGCACTGGGGAAGCTCCACAGACTCCTCTCTGACGGTTGAAGAATTCACTTTTCCACAGTTAAGACACTGTCCTCAGTGAGAAGTGGGGTCATTAGGAAGTGAAGACAGGAGGGGAAAGTCTCCTAAAAATTTCTAGGAACACATGTCCTTCATGAGTTATTACATCACACCCTCCACACCCGGGTTGCTCCCACAGACCCAGTCCCTAGTCCCTGAGCAGTCTGCTCCTTTCCTCCGTCCCTCCTGCTTGCCTCAACCCAAACCCTCACCCAGCCTCAGGGCACGCTGCACCTTTCTCCTCATTGCCAAGTCAAAGCAGCTGGAGGCAGATTACCAAGGTCAAAGGCAAATTCTAAGCAGAGTGGTACTGCAAAGCATAGGACTAGTAAAGGGAAGCCTTCATCTAGGGCAGTGGTTCTCAACCTTCCTAATGCCGCGACCCTTTAATACAGTTCCTCATGTTGTGGTGACCCCCAATTTCATTGTTACAAATTGAACATAATTAAAGCATAGTGATTAATCACAAAAACAATATGTAATTATATGTTTTCCGATGGCCTTAGGTGACCCTTATGAAAGGGTTGTTCGACCCCCAAAGGGGTCACAACCCACAGGTTGAGAAGCACTGATCTAGGGGGAACCTGATGGTCAGTGACTCTTCAAGGATGGCCAGGCTCAGGGGCATTCACTGTAATTAGAAATAATGAATGATCTACAACTGAATGCATTCAGTCCTTTAGTGATGGCCTGGGACACTGTGATTTATAATAAGAAACATATAGTTGGTCTTTGTCCATAGTTCCCAGAACAGAGCATCTAAAACCCTTGTAATTTCCTATATAGGAGCCATTAGGGGCATCTTTTAGTCATAATACGATATTCATTTATAACAAGTCCCTTTAAACAACACCTTAATTTATGTTAATGAGGTAACTTTAAAAAAGCCGATAACCATCACCGTAGTTTCAAGGGCTGGTATGCCTGGCACAGTAGTTGACATGCAATAAATACTTATTTAATGGGGAAATAAATAAACAGCTACTCAGACACCACAAAAAAAAATGAGACATCTATAGGCCCTTAAAACAAGACTGTCTGACACGGTAAAAATGCACATTTCATCTGAGTGTAGCAAACATCGTTTTGTTTTTCAGCTAGCTAAAGAATGCTGTGCAAATGACTAGGAGAATCTACCAGTTTCCAGCATCAAACCCAGACACATTCTCTTCCAAGTGATCTGAGGGCTTTACTGTCTAAGGAGCTACCCAACAGTTACCTTGCTTACTTCCTTCAAGGCCCTTTTACAGACTTCATACTTCGGAGAGTCCTTCGGTGTTTTTTGACAGATAGTCTGTAATAAAGTAAAAGAAGAAAAAAATTAACTGACTGATTTTATTAAGTACAATAAAACCAATGCCCAAACATACCCTCTTGCTCATAGCAAACTTCACAATGCTGAACACAATATTATGGATGGGTATGATGATGACATTAAAATCCAATGAAAAAACTATGAAATAGTCTTTACACACACAGAATCCAAGAAATAGTTAAATAAGAGGATAGACTTCAGAGGTGGATGAACCCTATTTCAAATCTGAACTCTGACCCTTATTAGCTATTTGATCTTGGGTAAGTCTTCTGTCTCTCTAAGCCTCAGCTTCTTCATCTATAAATTCAGGATAATGCCAGCTATGTCACCAGATGGCTGCAAGGACTAAATGATAATACATGTAAAGTGCTTTATGAGCGCCTGGCATAGAGTAGGCCATCCATAAATAATAAAATAACTTTAATTGTTATCATCATAATCGTCATTAGAGGTGAACTAATTTTGTATATAACACAACTGAACAAAAATATCAAGGAAAAAAGGCTGCTAAATTTTCTCTTGATCTATTTATACTGCAATTTTTGAGATAGTAAAACTGAGCTCACAGAAGGTGAATTCAAGGTAAACCAAATTACACATAACTTTTGAAACTATACCCAATTCAAAACCAACAAAACTATTTTAAGTGTTAAAACTGTTCATCTCAATTAAGTTTAAATAATTTCAAAACAAGTTTAAATCTCCAAATGAAGTAACACTGAAGAGATCATGTCTGAAGTCCAGACTCTCTCACAAACCAGATTAGGGCAGTGGGCATTAGGTGAAGGTGGAAGGTACTTAGATCTAGCAAACCCCTGGTCCCGACAATGGGGGTAAGTACCAGGCCGACTACATACCTGAGGTCGGGTGTCAGGATTGTTACATGTGATGTGTCAGAAGAAACACAGACAGTGCCAACTGTGGGTTTATAGTCATGGTTCTCAAACGCTTTTGACTATGACCCACTGTAGGAAATACATTTAACACCGTGACCAGTACACAAGCAAACAAAAATGAAACAAGGCTTTTTTTTAATGAAATAATACTTAACCCCATTATGGACCATATCCATGTCATGTAGAGTATGTTCTAATTCTTTTTAAAACAGTGCTCATTTTTCAAAAGTCGGTTTTGTGGCAGACTAAGGGGTATGAAAATGGTTTGAAAAATACTGGCTTATGTCCCTGAGAGCAGGCACCCTAAGTTCATAGTGTCTCTGCACACTTCAGTTTTATGTAAACGTTGTACATACTGAATTTCCTAGGGAGAATGACTACACTTTACTCAGAATCTCAAAAGGGTCTTTGACCCTAAAAAATATTAGAGCCCACTGGACAATATGGCATAAACACTCAACATGGTATGTTAGATTTTGTGGGTACCAATCTATTCAAGCAATTTTGCCAAAATCAAACAGAGAAGAATATGAAAGGCTGAGAGATGGCAGTATATACAGAATCTAAGGAAACATGGCTAAAATGTATTTTCAGAAGAAGAAGAAAACATTCGAAAAATCCATAATACTCCAAGAAAGTTGACATTTAGAAAGCACCCATTTCTTATTTAAAATAGTAAAGTTTGAAATATTTCCCTATACAACTCAAAGTTCCATAAAAAAGTATTAGAGGTCACATAATATAAATCTTGTTTTAAATGACCTCTTTACTACTGATAAATCTTACAGAAGAAAGCACAGCAGCTGCTCCTTAAAGGTATCTTTGAAAAAGTCACAATCCTATATAATAAAACCCTAATATCCAAATCGACCAAATAGCAGAATGAATGGTTGCTATGATGCGCCCTGACCACCAGGGAGCAGATGCTTAACGCAGGAGCTGCCCCCTGGTGGTCAGTGCGCTCCCCCAGGGGGAGCGCCACTCAGCCAGAAGCTGGGCTCACAGCTGGCGAGCACAGTGGTGGCAGTGGGCACCTCTCCCACCTCTGCAGCAGCACTAAGGACCCTTCAAGGGATGTCCGCCTGCCGGCTTAGGCAGGGAGTGGGCCTAAGCCAGCAGGCAGACATCCCCCGAGGGGCCCCGGACTGCAAGAGGGCACAGGCCAAGCTGAGGGACTGCCCCCACAGTACACAAACATCGTACACCGGGCCTCGAGTATTAATATAACTTAGCACAGGCCTGTATATTATATTATTAATTTAGTCAAGAAACACTGTCTATTGTCACACTTACCATTTACTATTTCATTCGTTTTCATGCCAACCCTGCAGGTACCCATTATCCTTATTTTCAGAATAAGATAAGCAATTTGCCTAGGATCACCTAGTCAGTGGCAGAGACAGAATCTGCACCCAGATCTGTCTTACTCCAGAGCCACAGGACTTCTCTGCACCAGGTTTACGTGTCAGAGTGCCTCCTGGGGAAATGGGGGCCCAAAAAGATTAAATGAGCTGCCCAAGGTTACAGGTCTCAGGGCTCAGCCAGAACCCAATCCAGGACTCCTGACTTCAAGAAGTCAATATTCTTCTCATTTCAAAAAGTATTCAGTGAGTGATGTAATCTAAATCCTTCAGTGACCACACAAACCTAACTTGAAGATGATTCCTAAAGATATTAGACAAAAGTGAGACTTTCCAGCCGAATAGCAACTTCTCACTTAATCGGGAGATTTTATAGAGGGGTGATGCATCAATTTAAGTGGAAGAAAAAAATTTCCTTAATCAGATTTATGGTACTATGGCTACCCACAGAGGAAAGAGCCACCCAATCAAGTCTTACGTCCATCAGCAGGGGAAGGCGAGTCACCCTCTGCATGGGGAGAATGAGGAAAGAGATCATGGGTAAGTTCCTACAGTCTTCATGGGACTCGATTCTTGACAATACTTCCTTAAAAGATGGATTGGTGGCTCTAAGGGAAAACAAAGAAAGAAGAAACTTCAATATACAGTCTCTTCAAGCTAAGAATAAAAAAATATAGTATAGAATACTGTGATAATTTCAGATATTACCAACAATTATTAAATATATACAACATGAACACATAATTACATAGGTAGACATAGATGGCTTGTCTGCCTTTTATAGTCAAGACTGACTATAAGATATGAGTCTAAGGTGACAGTATGAACAATGAGATGAAAATGTCTGAGCTACAATTTTATAGACGTGGAAAGTAAACAAATGATGAGGCAATGGCATCAGAATGGTGAACACATCAATTACAAATTAGTTTTAATTTGTAATAAAATTTGACAATAAAAACGGTAAAATACTGCCACAACATTTTAATTTCATTTTCTCACAATGAGAAGTTTTAAGTTTTCCTTTCTACTCATTTAAAAATTTCTTTTAGAAAGTTCAAGGAAAAAAATCAAACTCTACACCAGTTGCATCTTTAAATCCCTTTGGCCCCAGTCTCCCACCTCCAGAGTCTGGTTAAACAGAAAACTGACCATTGTCAGCAGTGTTTCTTCTCTCCCAGTGACAATAAAACCAGTAAAATACTGCCACAACATTTAGCAAGATACACTGACATATACGATCTTATGTGGAACCACCCATATAACTTTTAAGGAAGGTCAAGAGGGGATTCCAATTAGAATGGAGCCTCAGAAAGGTCCCCGACTTGCCAAATAATAGACCTAGTATTTGGTAAAGACAGAAGTCAAGCCAAGGTCTTCTGATGTTCAGTGGGTGCCTTCACCCCTGCATCTCTCACCTCACTTCAGCCCCAGAGGAGCTGTGAGGAGCTCCATTGTGACTGCAAGGAGGGGGCTGGGAAAGGGTGGTCCTGCAATGGAACTCCACGTTGAAGGGCAAGGGAAGGGGGAGGGGGGCAAGAAGCAGCACAGTGGCAATTGTGACCTTTTTACACATATATTTTTTTTTTTTCCTAGCCAGTTTGGCTCAGTGGAGAGAGTGTCAGCCTGCAGACTGAAGGGTCCCAGGTTCAATTCCAGTCAAGGGCATGTACCTCAGTTGCAGGCTCCATCCCTGGGGCCCTGGTCGGGGCTTGGCTCCTGTGGGAGGCAATCGACTGATGTGCCTCTCTCACATCAATGTTTCTCTCTCTGTGTCTCTCTCCTCTCTTCCACTCTCTCTAAAAATCAATGGAAAAGTATCTTTGGGCGAGGATATCCTCGGGCCTTGTGATTAACAAGGCCCCAAAATTTGATTATTTGGTTCAAGTCTGCTAAAAATAAATTAGGAAATACCCAGAATGGCAAATTTTAAAAAAAGTCACAGAAATGCTTTAATTTCATTTTTTCACAAGGAGTTTTAAGTTTTCCTTTCTACTTGCTTGGAAAGATTTTTAGAAAGTTCAAGGAAAAAAATCAAACTCCAAACCAGTTGCATCTTTAAATCACTGGTTGCATCTTTCGGTCCCAGTCCCCCACCTCCAAAGAGTCTGATTAAGTAGTCTGGGGTGGACCCTGGGCTTTGTTTTTTGCTGGTTCTCAGATTCCCAGGAGTTTCCAAAATGCAGGTGAAGTTGAATGTCACTGTCCTAAATGTAAATTCACACCAACTGTACCCAGCTCCCGAGAACCCAGCTACTCCTGTCCAGGTGAAAGCTCAAGTGATGGTTTCATTAAGCTAATTTCAAGAAAACCTCGATTTTTAAAAGTTACATAATGCACAGTAGCTCCTATTCACATTTTTTTAGGGTTTTTTTTGTGTGTGTGTTTTTATTGATTTGTCTAGAGAGAGAGGATGGGAGAGGGAGAGAGAGAGAGAAACATCCATGAGAGAGAATCATGAGTCGGCTGCCTCCTGCACGACCCCTACTGGGGATCGAGCCCACAATCCGGGCATGTGCCCTGACTGGGAATCGAACCCGGGACCCTTGAATCCACAGGTCGATGCTCAACCACTGAGCCACAGCAGCCGGGCCCTATTCACATTTTTTTTAATCCTGCAAAATATTGAAAACAAAATGAAATTCAGCTCTAATTTAAAGCTTTGTTTCGAACAGGTATGTAACTTGCATTTTCTAACAGTTACAGAGCAACCTTTGCATCAGCAAGGGGCTTGGGGGGAGTGGTGGGGATGGTAGGAAAAATGAGGGGGGTGATTTTGTCCCCAAGAAGCATTCAGCAATGTCTGTAGGCATTCGGGTTGTCACAACTGGGGTGAGGGACAGAGGCTGGGGATTCTGTGGAACATGGGCAGCAGGCAGGACAGTCCCCACAACAAAGAGGTATCCAGCCCCACATGTCAGTAGTGCCGACAAACCCCGCTTTGTACTGCAAACCTCCTCTGGAGCTGGCGGCTGGATTTCCCACCCTGTACAAGAGCTACATGAGGACACGGAGAGGGAAGGGGCAGGCCAGCCCTTCTCACCAACCAGGAGCTGTTTCTGCAAGCAGCCTGGAGGTGATGACTCATCACCGACCCTTGGTAGGTCTCACACACTGCAGAGAAGCTGGCCACAGCTCCCAGCCAAGATCGAAAACACCACAACTCCCAGTGGGGGGACGGTAACAGCCAGTAACCCCCAAGTTGCGTTTACAGCAACGCACAAATGCAGCTACTTGTGATAAACAAGCCCCCGAAAATAGAACAATATAGACGTTACTGAACAATTGCTGGCTCTCTCATGGATAGAGATGGAATATACATCACACCAAAACTTACAGCAACCTAAGTAGGACAAAGAGAAAAGGTGTGGAGAGAAGTTTAAAGCTTGTTTTTTGTTTCATAATTACAGTCTTTAAGAACTCCCTCCCTCCCCATGGTTTCTGTCCGACCTTTGCTTCTCAGATTACCCAAAGGGGAAATCAGCAATTCCTACAAACAATTTAACAGAGCTGTCATTTGAATGGAAGAAGATTAGAGTCCTAGAGAAAACTGGATCCTGGCACTAACTATTCACCCTCCTCAAAAACACTCTCTTGGCCTCAGGCAAAATACTTAATGGCCAGTTAAAGTCTTAGAGAAGGGGGGGGGGGGGGTGGAATAATCATCACAACCATTAAAAACAAAAACAAGGAAAACAATGAGATATGGAACAATCTACCAACCCAGCTTCTGGATTGTGACACCAGCATTATTTTGGTAAACAAACTATAGTACATCGTAACCTACTGGGTATATTTTAACTTTTCAATGGCAATTTTGAAACATATGTAAAAATAGGCCTAATAGTACTGGTATAAGGAGGCCCCATTTGAGTTTAAAGGATTATCAACCCATGGCCAATCTCTTCTATTTTACTTGTATAAATTACTTTATCGTTTGCAACAGCTTGGAGGGACCTGGATGGTATTATGCTAAGTGAAATAAGCCAGTCAGAGAAAGACAAATACCGTATGATCTTACTTATATGTGGACTCTAATGAACAAAATAAACTGATGAACAAAATAGAAACAGAGGTATGGATACACGGAACAGACTGACAGTTGTCAGAAAGGAGGGGGCTTGGAGGGCTGGATGAAAGAAGGCAAAGAACATGTATGCATAGCCCATGGACACAGACAACAGAGTGGTGACAGCCAGAGGGAAAGGAGGGGGGGCGATAAGAGGAGGTGGGCAAAGGAGGGGAGAATGGAGACAGAAAGAAAGAAACTTTGCTTTGGGTGAAGGGCACGTGATGCAGTGTACAGATGATGTTTTGTTGAGTTGTATACTTGAAACATATAATTTTGTGAACCAATGTCACCCCAATAAATTCAATTTTAAAAAGTAAAAAAAAAAAAAAGGAAAACAACAAACTATTATTTCATAATTGCTTTAGAGAGAAAATTTTCCAGAGACTAGATTTTTCTACTAGGACACTCACCCTGAAAGCAATCCTCTTAAACATTTGTCCCTGGGATATAGCCCATCTATTAGAAATAACTATCCCATGAGGACCTAATCATTTTCCCCAAAAAATGCGATGAAGAGGAAATCAACAATAATTTCTAGTGCTGACTTCTGGAACAGTTACAAGGGAAATTTCGTTTTCAATAAGTTCTTTAGCATCAAGCATGTCAGTCACTGCTCCTTACCAGTTAGCTGGCCAGACTCCATCACACAAAATTGATTTCAGAGCTTAATTAATTTCAATCAATGTGAGTTAATTAAAACAAGGCTGGATAATTAAAACTGTACTATTTAACACAGCTTACAACAATTTCTGCAGTGTTCGCTGTTGGTAGACTTCGTTTGTACAGTATTTCACATATGGGTCAAACGTGGATGCCGTGTGCTTTTCCACAATGTCACTTATGTCATCTATGAAGATATTATTCTGATGTCTTGCTTCCAACTCTGTAAAGAATCTGAAAAAACAACAACAAAGAAAAGCATTTACGCTTTCTTCCATTTGCTTTAATAACAGATTATCTCATGTGATGCTTTTATACAGGGTTTGAAAATATCAACAGTACCAGTAGCAACTCAAAGAGACACAAGCCAAAAACTATAAAAATTCTCTACATTTAAAGCTGTCATATTAATACCTTATCACTTCAAGTAGTCGGTTTTACAACACTGATAATCCAGTTCATTTCTATGTTTTCAGGTATATACAGATTTTAGAATATACAGATTTCACCATTTTTCAAGAATTCCCTATATATTGGAGGAGGGAGAAGAGGTTGATGCTTGCATATTTTATTATACTGAAAAGCATATGAGTACAACATCTAAATAAGTACTTTAAAACCAAGCATGAAATAAACTTAATTCTATGTGTCCTTTCTCTCAAATAAAAGTAATCACATTATTTTAAATCTAATAATATGCATGATATTCAGTGTCTTCATAAATTAGATTGCAATTTCAGGTTGCCAGACTTAAGAGTGGGTGTGTATTTGTATGTGCATATATTGTGTCCAGTCCAGTTAATATTAAATTTCTGATAAATAATGAATAATTTTTCAGTAAATTATGTGTCAAGTATTGCATGGGCATCTTGTGTTTTATCTGGCAACCAAAGATTGCATTCAATGTTAACAGAACATCAAATTCAGGTATTTGACATAGGTTTCTACCCAGTGTTGCTGCTCAAAATGTGGTCCATGGACCAGCAGCATTGGTGTCATCTAAGAGCACATCAGGAATGCACAACCTCATCACGCACCTCCACCAATCTGGACCTGCATTTTAGCAAGATCTCCAGATGACTCGAGTGAATACTAAAATCAGAGAACTGCCCTGGAGCCCACTTACTGCCCAAATTTAAAATGGTAGGAAAATCTATTAGAAATAACCATCTCACAAGGACCCAATCATTTTCCAAAAAAATGTGATAAAGGTGACATCAACAATAATTTCTCATGCTCTGGAACAGTGATACAAGGGAAATTTCGTTTTCAGGAAATTCTTTAGCATTTAGCACATCACTCACTGCTCCCGACCAGTCAGCTGGCTGGACTCCATCACACAACATTCAAGGCTGATAGCGAATGAGACAACAGAAATTTATACAAGATCATCGTAAATGTGGTCTAACATTTTCTCACATTTCTGTCTCTGTTATTTTCATACAAAATCCTGGCACTCAGAAATAAAACAAACAAGACATTAAGAAGCTTAGTTTTTATATGTTTACATGTACATAAAACTCATTTTAGTATGAACTGTATTATCAGCTTGTCATCATTATCTATTATTTTTTAAAGTTTCTGTAAGAGCTTAAGGGCAAATGCATTTTAACTTCCTAGAAGAGTCAAATCATTATATACTTTGAGGAAGCCCCTACATTTGTATTTCCTTTAAAAAGGACTTAGAGAAGCCCTAACCGGTTTGGCTCAGTGGATAGAGCGTTGGCCTGTGGACTGAAGGATCCCAAGTTTGATTCCGGTCAAGGGCATGTACCTTGGTTGCGGGCACATCCCCAGTGGGGGGCGTGCAGGAGGCAGCTGATCGATGTTTCTCTCTCATCGATGTTTCTAACACTCTATCCCTCTCCCTTCCTCTCTGTAAAAAATCAATTTTAAAAAAAAAATATATATATATATAAAGGACTTAGAGAAAATAATCAATCTAAATCCCAGCCACAGATTGTAATTGGCCTACTCATCCAAGCCCCTGGTTTAAAACAGCAAAAGGGAAAACTTTGCTGGACTATTTGCCTTTCCTTTCAGTGGTATCGGGGTTAATCTGCACAGTCCTTAGCCACTAGTCCAGACAACACACTGGAAGACTCCAAAATCCAGTCAACAGCTTCATATTACTTTGTCAGGACTGAGTCTTTTAATATTCAAAGAAAATAACCCCCATCCGGAAAGTTTCAGTAATTTCAAAAACAACCACTCCAAACTCCAAACAAAGCTATGTTTCTTAAACAATATTTTCTATATATACCTGTCCCTGACTTCAAGGAACTTAAGATATATTCAGAAGATAAGAATGATAGACATAGGTGATATAAAATATAACACTTTTGCTTATAACATACTAGAGGCCTGGTGCACAAAATTTGGGCACTCAGGGTGGGGGTTCCCTCAGCCCGGCCTGCACCCTCTTGCAGTCCAGGAGCCCTTGGGGGATGTCCGACTGCTGCGGAGGCAGGAGAGGCTCCCGCCACTGCTGCTGCGCTCGCCAGCCGTGAGCCCGGCTTCTGGCTGAGCAGTGCTCCCCGTGGGAGTGCACTGACAGGCAGGGGGCAGCTTCTGCATTGAGCGCTTAACCCGGGTGGTCAGTGTGTGTTATAGCGACCGGTTGTTCCGCCATTCAATTGATTTGCATATTAGGGTTTTACTATATAGGATGTGCATAAGGGTGTTGGTGGTAGTTTTTGAATTACATGAATTGTTGTAAAATTTACATAACATGAAATTGGCCATTTTAACCATTTTTTTTAGTGTACAATTCAATGGTATTAATTACATTCACAATGTTGTGCAATCACCACTATGATCTATTTCTAAAGTATTTTCATCACCCTAAATAGAAAGGCTACACCCATTAAGCAGTAACTCCCTATTTCCCTCTCTCCCCAGCCTCTGGTAACTGCTAACCTACCTTCTGTCTCCATGAATGTGACTATTCTAGATAGTTCATATAAGTGGAATCATATAATACTTGTGCTTTTTGTCTGGCTTATTTTATTAGTGTAATGTTTTCTTTCATATATATATATATATATATATATATATATATATATATATATATATATTTCTGAAAGGAAGAGAGAGGGAGAGAGAGATAGAAATGTCAATGATGAGAGAGAATCATTGATCAGCTGCCCCCTGCATGCACTACACTGGGGATAGAGCCCACAACCTGGGCATGTGCCCTGACCGGGAACTGAACCGTGACCTCCCGGTTCATAGGTCAATGCTTAACCACTGAGAGACGCTGGCTGGGCAAGGGTAATGTTTTCTAAGTTCGACCATATTGAGGCATGTATCAGAACTTTATTCCTCTGTATGGCTCAATAATACACCTTTAGATGCATATACCATTATTGTTTATCCATTCATTTGTTGAGAGACACTTGGGTAGTTTCCACTTTTTGGCCATTGTGAATAATGCTGCTATGACCATTAGCATACAAGTATCCACTTGAGTCCCTGTTTTCAAATCTTTGGGTTAGGTATATACCTAGAGATGAAATTTCAACTTCACTCTCTGTGCCAGTATCAGTGTATATAAAGAAAAGACCGTATGATACCAAGAAGTAATAGAGGAGCTGCTGAGTTATTGTCAAGGGGAAATTATTTCATTAAATGAAAGTTGAGTAAGAAATGAGCCTTCCCTCCTGAGTGGCCCACGGGAGGCATGGAGCAGTTAATTACAATTCCAGGTCTGTAAGAGAGACACAGAGTGACTGACAGTCAACATGAGGCGGGTCTTCAGTGATAAGGATGTCATTACTGAGCACTGGGGGCACAGCACTGTGTGCTGGAGAAACTACGTGGGCCCAGACATGAATCTCATGCAAGAAAACGTGGGTCGGTAAGTGAGACTGAGGTGTGGACCACAGGAGGAGCTGGGGCAGAGAATGAGGGCTGAAAAGCAGGTCAGAGCTTGATGGCAAAGGTTTGACTGTAGGCTGAGGGGTTTGGGCTTACTCTGTGGACAGTGAGAATCTGCTAGAGGTCTTGAGGCCAGTAAATTACCCAACCAGACAGGAAAACATGGGACAGTGGAGGGATGGATTAGTGGGGGGAGAGAGGCCACAAGCAGGCCAGTGAGGTGGCAAATTTGGGCAGGTGACGATAAAGCCTGGCAGTGGGAAATTAAAGAGAGGACACAGATTAGGGTAACAATTCGGAGGGGAAGTTAATAGAATGGAGAAACTCATTAGATGGGAAAGTCAGGGAAGATGCTGGGATTTCTAGTTAAGGTTTCTACCTGGTCATCAAGGTGAGTCATTAACAGGGAATTAGAAGAGGGGAGAAGCAAGAGAAAGCACAGTTTAATTTTGTCTTGGAGATGTCAAATGGACAGCTGAAAACACACATCTGGGAGAATTCTGAGCCCCAGCAAATCTAGATAGTATGTAGTCAAGTCTTGTTCACTTTTAGATGGTTTTCATATAAATGCAAAATTTTTGTATTTTATTTTAATTCCAAGCAGCTTTGAAGAAAATGTTCAGAGAAAATGGAAAAAAACAAGAAACCACGCACAAGGTCATTATCATGTAAATCTAAGAAATAAATATCTTAGAGGCAAATATCCTTTAGTTTCTTGTCTTTAGCTAACTGTTACAATCTGAAAGAATGCAGCTATATAACCAAAAACAACAGTAACTTGGCTTTTCCCAATGAAAGGAAAATTCACTTATCACAGTTAAAAGGTTTGCCAAAGTACAAGATTAAAAACAAAGCACTGATGATATATTTGTTTATGCTACTTACTTTGATTAAATATAAACTAAGCCCCTTGTCCTTTATTTTGACATTTGCACAATTGATATACAATTTAAAGCTTTCTGTGTTAAATTATCTGTTGGTTATTTTGGCAAATTTGCATATTTTACTGAGTGGAGCTTCAAAAAGACCAAGGAACTATTACTGAAGAATGAGGTATTATTCCCATAACCAAGAATGCTGCTGGTTCATATAAAATCTGACGCAAAAGTTAAAGCATTTTGTGAAGTTATTTGGCTTATTTGAAGGACTTTTTAATGGAAATATGTTTCGGCGCTATACTTTTTTTTTCTGGGACAATACATTCCTTATTTCCCCTTTGTAGCATTACCAAGATGACCATGTTTACAACCAATCATGTAGACGACCTCTCTTTCTTTTTCTTTCCCTACCAAAATCCTAATCTCATTGCTGAAGCCTAGATTTTGAGAAACCTCCGATAACCAGAAAAGACTTCC